TGCAAAAGAACTAAACATGCGATTAATTGCACAGCCCTAACAGAAACAATACAAAGTTCTTTTGTATTGAAATGCAATAACTAAGTCATGTTTAATTGTAATTTCCCAGATAACTGTTTCATATCAGGCTCTGCGCTTTGACAGAGCTGTGAACACAAGCAGGACAGATATATAATTCAATCCTACAACTTGTTAATTCGTTCCTACGACTAGGGCTGTCACGATTATTAAATAACCGTATGATCGCAATTGTATGACATAACCGCAGTCGTTGTAACCAACCGCAATTATTGCGCACTTTTATTAGCCACAAGGGGGAACTGTAGTACCTGCAGCACCCTACTTCCAACATGCTTGCTCTGCACGCATTACGCTAAGCAAATACACGTGTTAAGTTCAAATGACACTGTTCTGCGGAGTTTTGCATCACTGAGCCATATCAGTGCAATTATACAGCAAAGATGGATTTAATATCGAAGCCAAAAACGACGGCACCTGTCTGGGCACATTTTGGTTTTAAACCTGACGAAAAAGGATGGCCGAAAGACATTGACACAGCAGTGTGTCGAATATGTAAAAGAGAAATACCAGCGAAAAGCGCCAACACCACAAATCTTAGAAACCATCTAAAGACACATCATCCCACTGAATTTGCCAAAGTTTGCAAGGCATCCAAAACCGCACATACATCCCGTCAGCTGCCAATAGCGGAGGCTTTTGAACGGGTAACGAAATATAAACTTGACAGCATCAAATGGCGCACACTGACAGACAGTGTTACTAGGTACATTGCGAAGGAAATGCAGCCGTGTAATACGGTGGAAAAAAAACAGCATTTAAAGAAATGCTGCAGAACTTCGACAACAAGTATGAATTGCCAGGAAAAACATACATTTCCAAAACGGCAATACCGAACTTGTACAATCAAGTGAAGGAAGATATTGTTACAGATCTGAAACAAATTCCTTTTTATTCCGCTACTACAGACATGTGGTCCAGCTCAAACATGACTCCGTACATGATCTTTACAGTTCATTACATCACAGCTGACCACCCTTCTTGACCCAAGGTGCAGGGGTCACTTTGGAGAAGCAGCAATCATAAGTGACACCAAAGATGAGCTTTTAAAAGAGATCATGGAGATGACAGAATAAGGACAGGAGGAAGGTGGAAAATGCACTATAAATATTTGACAAATGTTATGTGAATATATATTTTAAGATATATACTTTAAGACAACCGCTGCCCTTCACTCTTTACAGTGTCTAACGAAGCAGTGGCAGAAGATGATATAGATACAACACCTCCTGCACCAAAAAAGATTAGGCTGTGTGATCTACTGCAGCACAGAAGAGCTCAATCATCTACCCATGTGTTGCCAAAAAGAGTGCAAGCTGATGCTGAACTGACACGGTACCTACAGGAAGAGGCACTAGATACCTCAGCAGATCCTCTGTTGTGGTGGCGAGATAATGAATCCAGGTTTCCTTTAATGTCCAAATTGGCAAAAAAGTACATGTGCATTTGTGCAACAAGTACTGCTTCAGAAAGAATGTTCAGTACAGCTGGCAATATTGTGACCCCAGTTAGATGTTGTCTGAAGCCAGAGAAAGTCAACATGCTAGTGTTTCTTTCCCGTAATCTACCAAGCCATTAAGGAGCAGGGTCAGCCTTGTTCGGAAATGTGACATTTATGGCCTGTTCTGTTATGGTCATAGTTTTTTTTGTTTTTGTTATTTACAGAATTTTCAAATATGTGAATATGGTTTTATTTGGAATCTACAGTCTTTTCTTATGGTCACTGTATTGTGATGGTTCCTGTTATTTACAGAATTTTCATATTTCTGAAAGATACAGTATATATTATTCACTGAATAAATAACTTTATTACATTTATTTAAATGTGCGAAGTGTGTTAATTGTATACCGCAAACAATTAATCGTCAAAGCCCTAAAACAAACAATTAATCGCTAAAGTACCAAAAAACAGGCAATAAATCGTCATAATCGCAATTATTTATTTGACAATTAATCGCCACCCAAATTTCATAATCTACCTACGACTTAATTTGTGCCCACTGTCCATATTTCATTAATTTGTTCCCTAGAAAACTCATGATTTAACTAAAATGAGGGAACGAATTAAGTCATAGGAAAGAATTCTTAATTCATGGCCACGAATTTCACGAATTTCCCCCCGCATGCTTACCACAGTAAGAGATGCGAAATCAGTGATTAAAAGTGAACGACAATAAACCTGTGAAATTAGAGGGTGAGATCGTGAGGATTTGGGAAAAGAAACAATAAATATTATTAAAAATGGAAATTCGTGACCAACCGGCAAAACGGAACACAAAGCGTATGGAACTGCTTTGTAATGATTATTTATTATTTTATTAAATAATATAAAGTAATTTTGTAAGACTTTTTAAATGTAACTCAATTTTAATGATACTGAATTTAAACAAACACAAGCCAATAAAATAACCACACTTTTACTGAAAGTGAAACAACTTGGTTATATAAGTTTCATTTTTAAATATTTTAAAATATAATTTAAATAGATTTTTCACACTTTAAGCAATATCGTATCGCATATCGAATATCGCATTTTTAACAAGGTATCGCATTTTTCTTCAATATCGCACAGCCCTATTGGAAACTATTGAATAAGAACACAGAATAACTGAATTGTAATGAATAAAGACACTACTATATAATCTTCCACAGAACTGTTTTAGTTGAAACTGAAATTGTAATTCAAACTGAATTTATTGATTCCTAACGGAAGAATTTTGCAACATGGATGCAGTTTTTAGTGTTCGCTACTGTAAACTTTGACAACTGTACTGTATAAACAGAAGTGACTTGCCCACTATCAGATCAGCTTTTCAGCTGTGAACTGTGTGTTACTGTAAAACACATATTGTGTAATGGCATGCTGTGATCAGGACTGAAACAACAGCATAAAAGAAGCGAGCAGCTCTCTGTATGAAACTCTTGCTGGCAGCGTAGTGTCTGGCTGCGGCCTTTTAACCAGGCTTATCCCTCTCTCTCTGGAGGACCAAGAGCCAACATGGATGCCCAGCACATTCCCACTGACACAAAATGGCAGTGCAAAGATCAGTGGTGTTATCAGGCCAGGACACAGACAGGACCGCGGGGAGCTTTATCATTAGAGTTCGTAATGGAGGCCGACGAGAGAAGGTGAGGCTATTTTGAGCAGCCTCAGACTCAGTGGATGTGTTTCAAGAGTGCCAAATAATCCATTTATACTTCAAAAACAACACATCTGGGAGATACAGCTCGAGTAAACAGATGCGGCTTAATAGTAGTGCTGGGCGGGATGACCAAAAATTTATATCATGGTATTTTTCAAAATTATACCATTTCACGGTACATGATGGTATTTTTTTTTCATGCATGACCGAGTGTTAACCATATTTTCTACTAATAAAGACAACGTAATTCAAACACAAAACCATGTAAAGGACAGGACTAGGAAAGTTAATACTACGTTCTCCCTCTTGCTCTTTGTCCTTTATACACTTTTTGGTGGAGAGGCATCATTTTATTGACATTATGCATGGGTCTCCTGCTCTCAGGCCCCTGCACACGCACCCGGGTGAACCCTTACAATGCAGGGATGTCATTTTAGCTCTCTGCTCCTCACAGGCAGTGTCCACCTGTTTCTGACACATACTTATGCTGCCAATCAAAAGCACCAACTTTGGGTTTTATGCCATAACTTTCACCTTGCTGTGTGTAAATTCTTATTTGCATTATTATAGATACAATTAAATAAATATAAATCAATAAAAATATATCTATAAAGATTGTTGTGTAAACTAACAATTCAATAATCAACTCTGCATGTTCACAGTTGCTTGTTTGCAATCTCTATTCTTGCAGTTGAACAGCTCTTTAGAGGTTCTCACCTAAACATCTCCCTGGGGGAATATCACTTATCTTTGGTCTCTTTGCAATGAAAACAACACATGCAGAAGCAACAGCACGGAAAGAGTACAGCAAAATGATCTCCTTTTTAGGCATGCTGACAGACACACACATTAGTGTTAGGATGTAATGCTCGGTGACGGGATGAAAGGTCAGTTGTGTGGACTGACACAAGTTGACAACTGGCCAACAACTCCAATAATATCCTAAATGCCATGTGTGTGGAAGTGGACGACACCTTAACACGGGCACAATGCCAAATGTACACCCAGTACAGCAAGACCAAGCCCAAACTGTGAGAATAACACCTCGGTGTGACTGTATGCGTGTTTGATAAGATTCTGTGTGCTTTAATACACACATGTGCATGCAAACACGCACTGTAATCAAATCTAACGTCCAACAAACAAAACAAATCCATTCAGCTCCTTGAGCGACCCTGTTTGCCATCAAGAACCAGTGTCCAAGTCTCACTCCTGCTCACTAAAACCTCAAATCTTAGTCAAAATTATCAGTTTCCAGCGTAGTCTTAATCTTACAATGCGATACCAAGTCGCCAATGTATGTTTTAAAACAGTAAATTACCAGTTGACGTTTTCTTTGTTTCTTATTTTGACTTGCTGGAGCTCATACTGAGCAGTTGCACTGTAGTACAGTATGAGCTTATGATGCTAATTAGCCGAAAGCTAAAGTGCTACAACCTAGTCTCTCAACGGTATGAGGTTTCCATGCTGCGGAGCTAAAATGCTAGCACGCTAGCTAGTTAGATGCTACTTTTACCATTAGTTTTGACAGCACAAGCCAGGCGGCTAACTAGCCAGGAAAACCAACACGCTACCATGCTAACATGCTTGTCAGCCGATACAGAGCTAGCAGATTAGCTAGTCCCGCTAAAAAGCTAACCCGACCGAATGCTAACCTCATACTGTAACTCGCAACCCAACTCGATCGAGTCATTTTAACTCCCCTGGCGGAACCTTCCACCAAAACCCTTCCACTATTCAGAACTAGAAGGTGAAGGGAATAAAAGAAGCACACTGTACCTTCTTTGGCTGCTGCGAGCGGCGCGCGGAGCGAGAGAGTACGGCGCCGGGGAGCCGCTGCTGCTGCCGCCGCTGGAGCTAAGATGGCGCCCCCTCCAAACTTCCACTGCTACTTTGCGCACTCATCCAGCCACTTTAGAGAACCAGAGAGCAAAACATCAATCAGCGGGCCATGCAAACGACATCTGACAAAATGTGGGAGGTTAAGTGAATGATGATTTTGTTTTTCATCGGGAGAGGAGGGGTTGTCAACACTTGGGACAGACACACAAACCTTCATCGCCCTCTGCAGTGCGTCCAGAAGCGCCTGCTGCTGCTGCTGCTGAGGAGGATAAAGATGAAATAAAGACATGAAGCTGCTCTCTTAAAACACTATCTATCGCGATACTTGACACTCGTCCCATGAAAATGAGATGGTGGGAGAGACTATGGGGTCCACTCAGAAATCACTGTCCCATCAGTCTAAACATCATTTCCATCACACACGGTTATGCCTGTATGGTAAACATACAGTAGTGGCTTAAATTATTAGAACACTAGTATTTTCACCAACTAAAAAAATGGTTTTAAGTCAGTTAGCTGTAGTGTGTCAGTAGGAAAGGGTCTGACAACAGCCAGTGCTGCACACAGAGATCTGGCGCCGGTTGCATAAAAGGTTTAGACTAGTCTTAAAAGTTAGTCATCTAATTTTGTTCTTTAGGAACAGTTCTTCTGGATTTATTCTGTCTCAGTTTGTTGTTTCTTTGTTGTCTCCAGACTGATGATGATCAGACCAGATCTCTGTGTGGAGCACTGGCTGTTGTGCAAACAAAAATCTCACTGGATTATTACAATTAAATGGCTAAATAAATGTTTTGAAATGTAAACTGATATTTCCTACAGACACACTACAGCAAAAGATAGAAATAACTGACTTAAAAGGAAGGAACTATCTGAGTTACTTTTTCAAACACTAAGTAACGCCAGTTACGTAATCAGATTACTTTTTTAAGTAACTAGTAAAGTAACGCATTACTTTTTAATTTAGAAGGAACTATCTGAGTTACTTTTTCAAACACTAAGTAACGCCAGTTACGTAATCAGATTACTTTTTTAAGTAACTAGTAAAGTAACGCATTACTTTTTAATTTAGAAGGAACTATCTGAGTTACTTTTTCAAACACTAAGTAACGCCAGTTACGTAATCAGATTACTTTTTTAAGTAACTAGTAAAGTAACGCATTACTTTTTAATTTAGAAGGAACTATCTGAGTTACTTTTTCAAACACTAAGTAACGCCAGTTACTCGTTTCCCATGTCTTTGTCTGACAGCTCTCGTGTTGCCACAATCTCATCTCACCTGCACAAAAAACAGATTCAGTATTCCTCAAAATGAATAAAAACAGTCAAATGTAAACTCAAATATTATACAAACCTGCAATAATTAAATAAGACAAATATCATTTATGTTTTTAATCCCATTTTATTAACCAATATCTTTGCTACTGACCTTCGATGATTCAATTCAACCATGCTAAGCAAAAATGACACATCTGTGTTTCATTTATGTTTTTTTATTATTATTTATTAATACAACCAGTGAACCAGATGTAACAAAATTACATTAAATCATATTCCAGGGAGCAAGACAATAATGTATCTTTTGAACAGATTCACAGTCTTTACAGCTTTCTTATTAGTAGAGTCAGAAATCAAACACATATAGAGTTTTAAATCTTCAAGAAAATTTCTATAGAAAGGCTTACGTTTGCAAAACTTACATTTATGTATAAAAAATTTAGCCAAGAACAAAATAAGGTTGAATAAATAAAAAAACATCTGACTGTTCACTCTCATGTGTATATCTTAGAATAACATTTTCATATTTCAAAGAGATACCAGGAATTATATCACGAAAAACACTCAATATGTTTTTCCAGAGATTCTTAGTATAATCACAATACCAAAAGAGATGGGGCAAATCTTCAGTTTGGTGATCACAGGAGCTTACATCAAAGTCCTTTCATTTTTGTTATTGCTGAATAGTGTTGAACTTTCTTCTCCTGCGTCATATTCTTCATGCAATTTGTTTGAACTGCACCCTCTACTGTACAGACATGAATTTACATTTCCTTCAGATTGAGGCGTGTTCATTTCACTTTTGTTGTGAAAGAGCTTTTACATTTGTAAAATAAAAACTTTTTTATATTAAAAACAAACAAGCAAGCCTTGCCCATATTTAAAAAGCAACTCAAAAGTAACATAACGCATTGCTTTCCATAAAAAGTAACTAACATAATTAGTTACTTTTTTAGGGAGTAATGCAATATTGTAATGCCTTACTTTTAAAAGTAACTTCCCCCAACCCTGCAGACAATAACATATACTCAGTGTTGGGGAGTAACTAGTTACGAAATTATAAGGTTACATTAGCCAAAGGTAATAAGGTTACACTTTATTTTAAGATGTTTTTGTTACAGTGTAACTATACATTTAAGTATTAATTAACTGCATGTACTTACTATATGGTTAGGATTAGTGTTTTACTTGCATGTAATTATGCATAATGTATTGTTATTGTTATAGTAAGTACATGTAACGTGTAACAAGGACACCTTAAAATAAAGTACCCAAAACAAACGTAACTGTAATCTGTTACAAAAAAATGTCTAATTAAATTACAGTTACTTTCATGTTACAAATTACAAAGGGGGTTACACCTGAATATTTATTCATATAAATTCATTTATTTCCCAAATTGCATTGACTGCTTTAAAATATGAGGGACCAATGTTTCAGGAGTTTAGGACACAGAGCAGGACACATGCTTATTTAATAACTGTTTTATTTATATTTATATATATATATATATATATATATATATGGGTTTGTGTAGGCCTATATGTTTTTTTTCTTTTTTTTTTTCTAAAGTATTGTTAGATGCCAGTTTTCCTGTTGTAGCTATGCAAAGATTTGATTTCCAAAACAGCATCGAAACTATTAAACTATATCTTATGATTTTAAATCCGTATTTTACTTCAAAACGATCTCAAAGTAAAACGAGGTGCTAAAGTCTGATTTTGTGGTGGCTGTGCTCTAAAATTAAATTGTTATAATCTTAATTCAAGAGATGAAAGATTTTGAAAGTCTGACAGTAATCAGTGTTGAGTAGCACTACTGTAAGGTTAACCCTGCTTTAAATGTTTCAAAATGATTAACAGTTGAAAAAATTCATTAGAAATTTAGAAAAGTAATCAAATGTAATCAGGTACATTAATAAAGTAATTGAAATAGTTACACTACTTATTACATTTTAGATAGGGTAACTTGTAATCTGTAACCTATTACATTCCCAAAGTAACCTTCCCAACACTGCATATTCTGAATATAAGATTCATCTAATAATTATTATGACTGTGATGTATGTTTGTGAAATAAATGTCAAATAAACATTTTTTAAACAAATTTATTTCTTTGAAAATCAATTTGCCTCTGCAAACATGTAAAACATTACAAATAAAAACATAAATATACCATATTACAAACCATTCAATGGCTACGTTTACATGCAACCAAATAATCCGTTTGTAATCGGATTGACGGCTCAATTGGACTGAAAAGCCTTCATGTAAACACCTTAATCGATCCGACTGAGCTCGATCGGAATGAAATTTCGATCGGATTGAAGGGGGTGGTTTATTCCTTTTCTAATACGATTGAGAGTGCATGTAAAAACTGATCGGATTGAACCCCGAAACTGAAAGCACTGCGCATGTGCAGAGACGCAGAAATAGCGTAATGACGTATGACTTACTGTGGGATAAATATGAGCAGCACGGCACAGCGGTTTATATGTGGCCTATATTTATCCATAAATTAATAAATATTAATTCTGCTGTTAAAAACAAATAAATAAACCTTGTAGGAGAGTGGTTATTATGTGAAAACAGTGAGAAACTCTATATTTGTGCAGTGTGCGCACGTAAAAAAAAAATCAATTCCGATTTAAAGTTTGTGACAATTAAACGCGCACATCAACCCGATCACTTTCTTCAGCGTTCGTGTAAACACTACATTCAGATTCATCAATCGGAATGAATTCAGTCCGACTGAACCAAAAAGTGTGCATGTAAACGTAGCCAATGAAAGCCCGAGCAAATACATGTTTGAAGAACAAATAAAATAAAATCTTTTGTGACACTGTCAAGTTTCAAGGAGTGCACTGGCATTTCCGTGAGAAGGGACACTTTGAATATTTTGTTTTAATAAGTACAAAAATAGTATAGCAGTACACAAAATAATCTTAAGAAAAAAATCAAACATCATTTTAGTGATTAAGTATTATGTATTTAATTAAAGTGACTTTTAGAAGAACTACTGTTAACTTTCAAGACTCCAGTAATGTTAATTCACTTGATTAAATAATAATGTACTACAAGACAATGCATTCATTACACTTTACTGAAACCTAACAAAGGCTAATAGTGGCACATGGTAAGTTAAAAGAAACCAAAAAAATGGATTGCTTTCTCTTGATGTTTTTGTAATGTTATATCTCCATCAGTTGCTATACTTGAAGTCTATCACAAAGGACATGTCCCATAGGCCCAGTTCTTTCAGACCTCAGTCAGATAAGGCGTCCTGTATTTGCTTTGCATCCACACTCTGTGCATTACCACCTTCTGTCCTCTGTTTACCTGCAGTCTTCTGTCTTCCAGATTCTGAAGCTCCTCCAAACCAGCATTAGAAAACAAATGATGAACCTCATCTGTATAGAGAGCAGGACATTCAGCATGAACAGTAGGTGTTTATACGAGCCCAAAACTGGATGGAATCCAGAAATAATATGCAAGGAGTTTAACAATATCTAAAAAATAGTCTGAAACGGTTCTACCTTTTGTGAAGAAATACACACAGGTTCCATGCTGGCGCGTACAGAAGTTTTCAGACAAACACTGACCTGCAGAAAGTGGCCATACAAGAATCGATCAATCAAGTTTCAGTCTTACAAGAATAATAATAGATTAAAGGATTAAAATAATAAAAATAATACATATATTTTTTGTTTTCTGGAATGAGAGGCTTAACACATTCAGTTAATATTTACGGAAAGAAAACAAAAATAATGTGTCATACTGTATTGATGATTTGGATATCAATTAAAACTGAATCACTGTAATAATGAACTTTGTAAACCTATTAATTATAATGATACCCAGTGGGAGTTAATTAAACACGATGTTGTAGCTGAAGAGGTACAAAAGACAAGTCAAAAT